ATATCTGAAGATGTTGATATTATTGACAACTTTTTTTAAAAAACAAGTAAAGTTCTTTAATAATACTTTGTCGTGGTTTATGTTCTTGTTTTTCAACGATTCTCAAAAAAAAGGGAAAGTTGAGGAACTGGATGTCATCAAGTATAAATGGAATTACTAGGAGGCTTAAAAACAATGTCGTAGAATGAAAGTTAGACAATGGGGAGGCTAGTGACTTTAATACTATAGTTGGACAGTTTTCAAATTAATGTGTTCAAATACAAGTTCAGAGACTAAGAGTCAAAGTATGTCTAAACACCTTCAGTTCCAAAATTATTTATGTTAAGTTCCTCGCATGTTCAGATATTTATGTAATTTCATTGGCATATGAAAGTGCTAGAGCAGTGTATTTTACATTATCTGATTTGATTTCAAATTCATTTGTTCAAATAAATTTATTGCAATATATAAGTTTGTGGTTTGTTAAAATAATTTTGCTCAGAAGTTGAAATGAGGAATGTTTTTAATAGGTTTTTTTTTTTTGATGTCATAAATCAATATTTTACTCTAATTTAATTTATACGATATTTCTTGCATTGCAGGTATACAAAAATTTTATGAGTGAGCGTATAAGTGAAAGAATTTTTCATTCATTATCGGAGCAAATAGTATCTACTGTACTAAAAACTCATTTACTATTGCTGTGTGTGCGAGTATTTCACGTAAAAGTAAATTTATGTTCACATTTCCGACACAAAATTTCAGGTGTTCGCAAGTTTATGACAAATCTAATGGATCAATTTTGAAGTAGCATTTATATCGCAGCGATAAGAGTTCTGGTTATGTATGGTTTATTGTGTATGTAACAAAAATTAGTAACATTTCTCCGCTTTTTTATAGTCTACAAATATGTATTGAAATATTCCAGATACTTAAAACTGAAATAAAACGATAAGCAAAACAATGGCGTAGATAATATATATATAAAGGAGTAAAAGGGGGTTCTTTGAAAATGATGAGATATTATCACAAAATAGAGTAGGTAGAATAGAGTAGGTAAAAAAATCATACATATGTACTATATATAAAACAAATAAAGGCGTAGATAATAAAGGAGTAAAAGGGGGTTCTTTGAAAATGATGAGATATTATCACAAAATAGGTTAGGTAGAAGTCTTAAAAAATCATACATATATATTATATATAAAACAAATGAAGGCGTAGATAATAAAGGAGTAAAAGGGGGTTCTTTGAAAATGATGAGAAAATAATGAGATATTATCACAAAATAGAGTAGGTATAAGTCTTAAAAAATCATACATATATACTATATATAAAACAAATAAAGATAAACCAAGCTTTTATTGGTGTTCTGGATTTTTATTGAATCATTAAAAGGTAAAAATTTTCTGGAGGACTAAATAAGTATTTCATGCAAAGAATCCATAAATATTTCGAGTTTTTGGTACAGTCTTTAAATATAGTAAATTTTTTTTATTTTTGAAGTTAATTTCGAAATAAAGAATCATCGTTTGAGCTAGAAATAAGTTATTTCGCCATATAAAAGTAAAAGCTGTTAACTAATAAAATAAACCAGGACTTTCAACCGAAATTTTTTCCGTTCCAATTTTCGTCCCGGCTCTAAACAAAAAAATATATCAGTTCGGTTCCGGTTTCCGGTCCGACAAAATTATCGTTTTTTTTCGGTTTTCGGTTCGGTTCCGGTTCGAAGCCCTGAAATAAACATATACGACCATATACGACCTATATGTTCTAAAGGTATTGCACCTACGCCATATAGAAATAAATGATTGTAAGCAATTTTTCGTTGTATTTTTAAGAAAATGTTTGTTCAATAAAAATAATAAAACTTTTATTTTTTAATAAAAATAAAAAGTAACAAAAAACTCGGAACTTGAGCATTGAAAGTCTATGCAGTCTTGGCTAGACTGCGATTAGTAATCGCTTCTTATTTGACAGGCACGAGTTCAAAGTCTGGCACTTGCAGTCCAAATAAATTATATACAGACTATAAACTAATTAAAAAAATTCGATTACTTCGTAAGACCACTGATGAAGAGTACTTGGCAATACTCGAAACAGCGTTGTATGGTCAGCCAAATTTCAATAAATTAACTAAAATTTTTGTTATTGCCTTTTCATTTTTATTGGAACCCTTCTAACTTTTAAATAGTTTCTTTTCATCAGAAGATGTGTCACTTCTTCTGTAGAAGTATTTAGAAAAGTGTTCTGCATAAATATTTTTGTCTACAACTCTGTGTTATGTCAGTTAAAAAAGGAAATAAAAAAAAATGCTTGTACGCATTATACACAACACTCTGTAGTTCTGGCTTTGACTATGAACCGAACTGACTATCGATGTTTATTGGTAACTGCATGGATGTCGTTGTGTGCCCATCACCGCTGGCATATCCTTGATCCTGTTAAGCATGACTCATAGCCGCCAAGTGTTTGTGTTGAGCATGTGCATGTTATGGGTTTGTTTGACTTAAATGCAGTTACGAGGTTACCTTGCTAATGTTTTATGGCACATAAAAGCAACTTACTGGGTCAGTTGGTACATTTGAAAAATCTTTAAGTGTTTTCCGCTTCCTATTCCCTTTAGGTGTACCTTTCCCTTGTCGCGGTGAGTGCATTTCTTGTAAGAATGCAATGCATTGCATACACTTTAGATATGACCCAGATAAGGTTATGTCAACGTTTGAATTGACACACTTGTTTCTACTATTCTATTATTCTAAACTCCACACAAATTTCATGCATTCAATACACTTATTTACTATTCTTCACTATATGGCAGTTATTGTTGTTGTTGCAATTAATAATGTGTCCGTATCTATATCTGTAGTTTTGCATTTGTTGCGAGAGCTGTTGATAAATATTTTATAAGAATGGCATGGCCGAGCACCTAGCAAGCTGGGCAGAAAAGACAAGCCAAGGCATTATCGGCGGAATAAGCCCACATTGGAGTGCCTGTACGCACAGCTGTTGGCTGTCAGGTGTTTTACGCGGCCTGTCTCTAAATGGCTTCTAATTTTACTTTTTTGCCTCTTCCCATTTGCTGATATCAGTAATTTTAAACGTTTATTGGGTACATTTAGGTAATGCGTATGTGCTGCAGGTGAACCTTGATACTATTTACTTTGTATGGACTTAAAATATTTCAATTGATGGATGGGCTCTCATATCAATTTAACTGGTGTGAATATCAAATAATATTTGTATTGAAATACTCGTATTTTCATGTATTTTGAAATAAATTTTAATGACAGTTCTTGTTGTTTCTTTTTTAATAAAGGAGATTTTTTATTGTATATATAATATTTGTATAATTATTATTACTATTATGGGGGTTAAAGTGAAGAAATTTTCAAATCCAAAACTAATTTCGACTTATAATTAAGTGAATTCTTCGGCTGCTCTTGTGGATGCTGTCAAAGATATTCATCATTAGTGGTCTTTGAAAATATTTATTGGTTTAATTGTCTGCATATTATGTTTGGCGTAAATGAGTCAGGAATTGAATACTGTTAAAATTGATACATTTAAGACACAAGTACCTGATTTGTGTTATTTGAATTTAGATTTTTGTTAAGTTTCCTTGTTTATTCATTAAGTATTTAATGTCAACAAAGAAATTTCATAAACGTCTTGGAACTGACGTCACTGTTGACAACTGTAAATTCGAAGCTGTGAGGGACTTTGGAACCAGCGTAAACAGCAAACATGACATCAGCCTAGAGATTCAATGAAGAATCGCTCTCATCAAGAGATGTAACATTAGACTACTTGGGCAATTGGAAAATAAAGTACTCTCTCGACAAACAAAAATCATACCCTACAAGTCTCTAATCATGGCTGTGTTACTGTGTGGTGCAGAAGTTTGGATAATAATCAACAGTGATGAGAAAACATTATGAGTATTTGAGAGAGTTCTTCGAAATAGCTATGGTCGCGTATATGTTAGCAATGAGTATCGAATTAGATGGAACGATAAGCTATACGATCTGTAAAGCGGCGTTAACATAGCGCATAAAAAATCAGCGGCTTCACTGGCTTGGTCATGTCGTGTGAATGATAAAAATTGCTCCAGACAGGCAGTTATTTGATTTAGAAAACACGGTAGAGCATGCCCGCATATTCGGTTAAACGATGATGTGACCAACGATTTGAAGGCGTTCGGTACTATTAACAGAAAGTCACTAATCGGTTTGGCTGGCGGTGGCTATTGGATGCGGCCAAGGACGATTTACGTCTGTCATGTACAGCTACAGTATGCAATCATATGTCATAAAATTAAGAACTTAGCCTATCTTCTAGATGTTAGCCTACCTACCTACCGTGGTATCAAGACACATGATGACAGCAAGAGTTTGAAGTATTCTAGTATGAGTGTCCCACATAATAAACGAATGTGTTATGAAAATTTAATTTAAACGCTGTGATAAGAATATGTAAGGTTTCATAGATATATCTGATGTATTCGACAGAGTAAAAGAGAACATATTGAAGGACCTTCACAAGGTGTCATCAACTGAAATTGAAGAAGAGAAATTAATGAGTTAAATTTGCTCCAAGTGACTTTCATGTTAAGAAAGAGAGATTGTCCTAACGATAATCTCTCTAAAGAATTGCTACAGCCTTTAATAATTCTTTAATATAACCCCGTAAACTACTCATATCATGGCATGCATCTGGATCGTAGACAGATATGGAAAGGAAACCGACAAAACAAAAAATATAAAAACGAATCACATGTTAGTTTGGCTTGTTGTACAAAATTACAGTCGGGTAAGTACTGTATTCACCCGACAGGGTCTTTGGGACACTTTTCTGTTTGCGAAATTAAGACCACCACTTCATAGATGGTGTTTCGATCTGATTCACGTAAGAGTAGAAAAGAGTAGAAGATGTTAAGACGATAACTACTTGAGCCAATGAAAACTGTATGGAGTTTCCATATTGGAACTGCTTTCGAAAACAACAAAATTAATTTGAATTTATGATTCTATTAAATGGTATATAGGACCATTTAACTGCTTGTAACTATATCGAACGCGGAAACCATTCTTGTCTGCGTTGTATATCCAGTTCGCCATTGCATTCGGATTCATAAAATTTATTTGTATCAATCCAGATACAGATAGTTGTTCATCAGAGCTTCCAGATGCTTGTAGACTGCCAATTTCATCGCGAAAATTATTATCAGGAAGTTTTATGCTAAAAGCAGTTAATATTATTCATATTCTCAAACTAATATTTTAAAGTTTACCTCAATTCGTATAAAGTTTTATTGGATTCCTGTTGAACTCTAGGTAGTACATCGGTTTGTGGGTACTGCGTACTCTCTGACACCAAAATACAGTAAAGTGCAATTTGCAAAGCCTTTATACAAGAAACAAACAACAATTAATTTGTATTTTAAAAAAGTTTACTGCCTTACGAAAGCATTCCAAGTAACTTTAAGATCCATTATTTTCAAAGATCTTCACTTTGCGGCAGTTTAAAAATAACTAATCACATAATGAAATTAATTTTTGTTTATGAGAGAAAAATTGTTTTTAATACAAAAGTCCCACCGGTGAACTATCGCCACAGATTTTTCTATATAAAATTAGTATTTACCATTTCTAAAAATGTGAGACTAAATTACAAAATTCATCTTTCAAATGCAAATTTAAAGGGGAAGGAAAATTCGGTAATTATGAACTTCACATAACTTATCTAGAATCGGCTTCTTCTCAGACCACAAAAAAGTGATTTCGCTGATTGGGAAGACGAACACTTTAGTGACTCGTTTCGACTCTGAAATTTCAAATATTGACATTGCTCTACAAATCCCATCCAAATATGTAAATATACTTAAATTAATTAATATCAATTTTCTTCTAGTAGAATTTATTTTAATTATGTGAATATATTCCTTTTGACGTCAGACTCGTATTGAAGTCCATACCATTAAAACAGTCCCTACAAAACTCAGTACATACCATACACATATGACATATTTCTTGTAATACTAACTGTTCTCAACAGTTATAATCTATTTTCAATATTAAAATATACACATATCTTATTAAAGTAGGGTTTGGTATAAAGAACATATACTGCTGGGTTATCAAATCGGAAGTACTCACACGCTTGTCACTTTACTAACCATAATATAGTTTCCATCTAACATTGCTATTTGCTGTGATATTGCAGTATAAGACCGGGGTATCTAGAATAGTTACTTTTTTCTTTTTATTCGATTAAAATTATTTAGTGTGAGAAAAACCAAAAAACTGAACCTGCTAAACTAGACAAATTGGCTAACTCTTATAATGGTTTTTATTTTAATTTTTTAATTTTAGTGATAGTCTTTGAAATTGTTTGAGTAGCTCAATAGGCTTCATG